GACCCGACGATCGGGGTCGGGGCGAACGGGTCTGTAGTGTAGAGTAGGACCGGTTGTGTCGGTCGGGCACGTAGTCATCGTTATCGTAGCCCAAGTGATACGACTTTGGCTGTGATTTGTTTGACTTGAGTGTCCCCTCGGGATAGCCTTTGTTTAGTGAATTGCGTGACCCGTACCGTGAGTTCGGGGCCGTCCAGTCGGCCCGGTATGGGTTGTAATCGTCGACTGTCTCGTCCGGCTCCTGTTCGACGATCTAGGTTAAATAAATCAATCACATTTAAAATTAATCATATTTAAAATAATGTTATCAAACTCAAGTGTAATAACTGTAACGTTGATGTAAAGTTATACTAAAATATATTCCCGAGGGTATATTTTTATTAATATTGGGGTATTTGTGATTCGGCCTAAAGTATTATTTTGATTTTACTAGTTAAATTTAAAAAAATTATATTTAAATATTTTAATTCAGTTTGATATAACTGCTATAGCTGAGTTTAATGTAACTTTTTAGTACTTAACTAAAGTAGTATATAATTGTAACTATAAGAATTTATTCAATTAATTAACAATTTGTATTTTATAAAATTATTTATAATGCATATTATGTTATAATTATAATTTAAAAAATAATATTTGAAATTCGACATTATTTTTGTTATTTAAAATAAATCACATTTTAACATTATGGAATATATAATATTAAGTATATACTTTTAAATTAAAGATAAAACTTTGTTTAATAATAAATAGTTTAAATAATTGTAATTCAAGCCAATTTAAAGTTTGTGTAAATTAATTGTCATACATTATAATAATGTGCATATAAAATTATGTATTAATAAATTTAAATTAATTTAATAAATTTTGTTGCAATTAATTATCATAATTTATATCAGTTTGTGTAGACGAGACCACAGGGCTAAAATAAAAATCCTTGGTTGTTTCAAACATATTAATTTCTGGCAATTGCCATAACCTTCTCTCCGTTAACTAGGGTGACCAACCGTCCTCTATTACAGAGGATTGTCCTCTATTCGGACTCTTGTCCTCTGTCCTTTGAAGGGGTTATAGAGGACAAATGAATTGCCTCTTTTTTAATTTTCCAATAAATTGTTCTATTTCTATAAAATTTACTGAAATGTTGTATAAATCTACGATTTATTAGTAAAATACACAATATGTCGAAGTGATTGTTACTATTATCTGACTACGGAATAATGTTATCTCCTGTACATCAATATCAATAATAACCATAACTTTCCTAAAAATTAAATTTTCTTTTCACTCTGATTTTATGGTGTCCTCTATTTGTCCTCTATAATTACTGTAAATTTAGTCAAAATTCCTCTTTTTCTAGAACTTGAGTTGGTCACCCTACCGTTAACTCGTCTTCCATACGGTTTAGTGTCTGAAATGTAAACAATTTAATTATAAATCATTAATAATTTACATAATCTGTAAAAACATGACAAACCATAACAAACATCTCAATCAGGCTTTTATATGATGAGTACTTAGGGTGACCAACCGTCCTCTATTACAGAGGATTGTCCTCTATTCGGACTCTTGTCCTCTGTCCTTTGAAGGGGTTATAGAGGACAAATGAATTGCCTCTTTTTTAATTTTCCAATAAATTGTTCTATTGATAATAGACTGATGCCTTATTACAATAGAGGACATGTAGTTATAGTTATTATTGGTATTGAAAGGATTTTTAATTTAAAAGAAAAGTGAGACTAAAATACGTGTCCTCTATTTGTCCTCTATAATTACTGTAAATTTAGTCAAAATTCCTCTTTTTCTAGAACTTGAGTTGGTCACCCTATGAGTACTGCGCTATTGTATGACTAAATGTTTGACCGAAATCAGTGACACAACCAATAGGACCGTCAACACGCTTGCACCAAGACGAATACCCTAGTAATTATGATTTATATTTAAATAAACCAGACAAAATGTTAATTAATTATCATTTACAAAATCATACCCTCGCGACATGAATATATGACGAAAGTTTGATTGTTATCTTTGTTAAATTGTGGATCAAGCAGGCACAGCTTTTTAATGAGTGATGGTTCTTTAGAGCCCAAAACCATATCGGCAGATTTAAAGCAAAAATCATTTGTTACGACAGATTCGTATAATTTTGGGTCAACTTCTATATGATTGACAAAATATGAGTATTTGAGCAAATTTAGAGTTATTATTCTATGCCATATACATGTATTTTTATAATAAACAATAAAATTATAAATAGCATACTTATGCGTTCGCAGTTGAAAATAAACACCTTGTTTTTATATCGTAATACTGGGGCCCGAGTCCAGGCAAATGTGGCCACAATATCACTGATAGGCAACAGATTGTGATTTTCTGGCGGCCATTGCGTGTCATTTGGCTCTCTATAGCCTATTATATTCTCATTATAGCCGTCACCGATAAACATCATGATAAACCCGTCACCACTATACGGTATTCACTAGTATTTGCAACATGTGTCAATATTGTTTTAATCTGGTCCCGTGTAAGTAGCGAATAAACCTTTGTTTCAAATAGTAATTGTGTGAAAATTGACCTGAATCGCTCTGCTTCATTGTCCAACTTATCGAGAGTAACTATTATAAAGGCCCGACCCCTAGCAGTTGGATCTATTTTAAACTTTTTTGATGTATTAATATTTAGTGTGATATTGCAGTGTAACTGCATTGAACTTGTAATGAGGTTTTACTGTATATGTTGTGTAACACTCCAGTGATTGGTCTACAAGCTGCTCTCTGGAATGTTACACAACACCCCACACACTATAAGGCTATATAACTGCTTACTTTCCCAACTCTCGGGGCTTTTTAACTCTGACTCCTCTTACGATACGTAAGAGTGAGTGCAGTACTCCTCTAAAGCCATAGAACTCTACATTTTATTTTACTTTTTATTATAAACTCAATAAAACGTTTTATAACTTTAAACTGTGTATTAATTAATAAGTAATCACAAGCAACCTGTGGTAATCAACCGGGAGCAGCGGTCACGCGAGTGGGCACATCTTATCCACGAGATCTTTATTCCATGGATAGGCAAACCCATGGAAAGACAGGTATGAGTCTCAGGTATCGCCCGCTCCACGCACTCGACTGAAGCCGTGATTGACAGCTACAGAGTGAATGTCACGAGTAGTGCATTCCTGTTGCAATATTATGTGTAGTTTTAATTTGAAGATGAATTTGGTTAGAATACGGCCATGGTGATTTGCATGATTTGTAATTATGAATTGGTTTATGCACATTTTTGTCGTACTTAACATTTAGCTTATTCATCGTTTCAGATTGGTGATTTTGATGTTTAATTATTTCTTTGAAACAATTATAAATGTGTTTATAATTAATAGATTTTGCTTTAAATATAGGGATTCGCCACAGAATTGCACTTTTCATCCGTGAGATTATATTAGCGTTTATTTGGTTTGCATTTTCACCGAAAATATCATTGAATTCATTCATTATATCCTTTATATCACGTCTTCTCTCTTTTGATGCATCGACTAATCTTTTGATAAATGTCTGGATTTGATCGACATTTACACCAAAATTATCCCAAATAAATGACTTGTCATTCCTGTGTTTATAGAAAATAATTAATTCAATTATAATAAATATTTATAATTAACATAATTATTGATATAATATTAATACTTATGTGATAATTGTATTTCAAACAATTCTTTGGCAATTAATCCGATTTTCTGTATGGCATAGATTGTAAGCGTATTTCCATTAAATACAGAATTGTCATATGAACGTAAATATAATTTCATTATATTATCAGTTGATATAAATATATATTTGGTTTTGAGTTTACAATTGTCAATATTTATATTCAAAGCAATCAATCCTTGAATACAATGTAATAGTTGTCTCAATAATTGCTGTGAAATAAGAAAATTAATTGAAATTATTGCCACCGAGTGATGGGTTTGTGTCCCAAATATAATATTTCGTGTATTTATGACATCCCATAGAGTTTGCAAACAAAACTCCATTTGAATGTAAATCTCTTTGTTTTTAATCCAAGAGTTATATATTTGTAACAAATATTGAGGTTTTATTGCAAATATTTTTGCAACATTTAGACACTTTTGTTTAATTTTGTAATTATCTATAAATTAAAATTTTTAATAACTATAAATTATATAATATAGTAGATTATAATTTTGTGAAATAAAATAACTATATAATCAAAATACTTACGTAATTTTATTATATTAAATGAATTGTTGGTTTTAATATTTTGCGCTTTAACTATTTTACCATATTTATTAATTAAATCCGTTGGTATAGAAGTTGGATCTATGATAATATAATAATATGTTATTAGTTTATGCAAATATTTAACATATTTTAGTTAATATATTGGTTTACCATGTTCAAATGTTTGGCAAATAAAAGGTATTTTATGGACTGTGTTATAATAATTGAAAAATAATATAAATTTATTTTTAAGAATATTATTAAATAGAAATACGTTTTTCTCAACAATCGGTTCAATCGATAACTGCTTTAATTTGTGTAAAATTACTTCACATTCGGGTCTTTGTCTCCAATCCGTCGATCCATTCGTTGAGTACTTATTAGCACTCATTTCAAGTAATAATTGATTTAATTTTATTAAGTTATGCTTTTGATTGAAACTAATATTGTTTTGTAATACTAAACCTAATCTAAAATATTATTGTAGATAAATAATAAATATGTTAATATTTATTGTAAATATATTATGTATTTATGACATACTTTCCATTTGCAATATCTCTTGTATTGAACCCAAAAAGTTGTGCCCCAATGAGTGCCAGACTATAGACATCTATTAAATGGTTGTATTCAGTAGTTATTGCTTCCGGTGCCTGATATTGTATATCTCCGACATCTTTGGTCTGATTGTATCCATCACTCAATACATGCACTTCTTTAGACAAACCGAAGTCACATAACTTTATATATCTATTGTCGTCGTTGTTGTCAATCAACACATTATCGGGTTTGAGGTCTCTGTGATTGATATGATTTTTATGCAAATACTCCACACTTTCGACCAATTGTTTGAATATTTCATATGATATATAGAATTCAAAATCAGTAATTATTTCTCCAAATAATTTTCTTTTAGTTTCTAAAACTTGGGTTAAATTTCCGGCCAAACACTCCATAAGAATGTATAAACAGTTGCTTTCAATCCATGAATAATAATATTGAATCACATATTTTGACCGCAATTTTATCAAATTTTGAGTTTCATTTAAAACATTGATTTTAAGTTTTTCTGTCAAACCTTAAAATTAGAATTTCAATAATTAAATTAATTAATTTTTTTTATTAATTATTACTATTTAATTGACATGTTTTAAGAGCATATATGTTTCCATTGAGTTTAGCTTTCACTCCATCTACTCGTCCAAAACTACCCGAACCTAATTCTTCTATCATTTCATACATTTCTCTGCCATTTCTTTCACAATTAGTTTCTAATATAATTAATTAAATTATTTTAGTATTTTGTTAATAAATTTAATTACATTGATAACAATATACTGTATATGTTAATAATGGTTATTTTCTTACCATAATGTGTCGTATTTACTGATTGAATATAAGTTCTGGGTTGATTAATATTAATCGTATTAAAAGTTATTTGATGTTCATTAGCGTAATACTCATCAAATGTTGTATTTTTTGTCTCAATAAATACTTCTTTAGACATTTCAAATACTTTTCCGCCACTTATTCCACAAATAATATTATTTTTTGAACAATGCATATCGGTAAACAATAAGTTACTAATCATAAGCATCTTTTCATTTATCAAATCATATTTGTAAACATGTTTATCATTTGATAACATAATCATTGTGTCATTATTTATTTCACACACAAACTTTATATTAGAAACATTAACTAATAATTTATCTTTAATTGTTCTCTCGTTATTCCACATAAACACACATCCATTGGATGTAATGGCAAATGATTTATAGTTTGAGCAAATAATGTCAACAATTTTGTTTTCAACGGGAAATTGTAGTTCATATGAATAATATCCCAATTGAAATAGCCGTCCATCGGATGTTAAACCAATAGCTGTGTATTCAAAACACGAAATTTTTTCAATACGAATATCACGTGAATTATTTAATAATATTTTTTGTGGTTTAAAATAAGTGTCTTTATTACGAGTCTCTTTTAAATTCCAGCCATATATCTCGTGATTAGTATTCAAAGCAAATACAAAGTCGTCGGTATTAACAAATTGTTGTATTTTGTGATGACTT